AGGAACAAGGACGCTACTAGTTTCACAGCCACCACGATGAACGTGATGCAAGCGATGTCAGTGCTGGTGAAGAAATCTAAGTAGTTCTAAATCCTCGATGATCATGCTGTCTGAGGGTATCTCGTTTTTGTATCTTCACAACATCAATAATTGATGGTGATGGAAGAATTCAACTAGAGCGGATGCCAAATCAAAAGTAGCCGCTTCACCTGCAGCTAACATTGATCATCCCAGGCGAAACTCCAAGCAACACAGCGACGATGTTTTCCTCTGGGAGTACATGTGCGGACGTAGAGTCGCACTTCCAGATGTAGATGATGCCACCATGAGTTCTTCAGAATGCAAAAGGAACTTCACTCATGTTGAGAGTCGAGGACGCTGCTTCATGGGTTTCAAACTTGCTGCAGGAGCACAAGGTTCTGCGTCAGACCGGACATCCGGGATGCGATGTCAGGCGGCGCTTCTGTCGACCCATGAGGATGGTTACAGGGAACGTGACGGAACGTGTGAGTTCTTTAACGTGCTTAAAGAACCGGGAAATGTAGAAACAGATTCACCAAAAAGGGTTCATTCACCATAGGTAAAATCAACATCACCCGAAAACAACACCTAGTAGTATCTTGAGAGGGTCACCCTCCCATCACGGGCAGCTGAGTTCCCATGTCCATCCCCATCAGCTGAGTTTCATCAGATGTACTTTTCCAGCGCGCCATGTGAACCCGAGCACGACCGTCACATCACAGCACACCCTATCATGTCTCTGCTCTCTCACCACCTCTCAATGACGTTTACCCTTCCCCATCCGAAGTTAATCCCATTGATCATTGATTCTTTGTCCTTCGACACCTGACCTCCACATACGGCTGGGACAAACCCAGTAAGACAAGCCTAAAACAACTAAAGGAAAAACTGGTCAATCTATATATCTCAGCTTCGTCGCATCTCTTACCAGAACAACCCCGAAGCTCTGGGCAGCCCTGCAAGCGCTCCACCATACCGCCGCATTGCCTTGGGTTTGGGGCTCATGGCAAAAAAAGGACAGCAGCTGGTTCAGAAAGAACTCGTCAACGTCAACTGCGCTCTGTCAAGTTGACAGTCGGTCAAAGCCGCTGGGACCCTGGCTGAAGAGATCCCTAGTTCTGTGTGGGTCTTTTCCCGGAGATCGCCCAGTGGCCCACAAAACCCCCCCAAAAAAAGGAACGCTGGAGACTGGATCGCCGGGTGGCCCACCCAAGAATCCCTAGTAATAGATCTCCCATTTGGTTGTACGTCTCAGCTGGCCACTCCTGGGACTTCTGGGGACATGTTCGGACATTTGGACCTCTCCACTGGCCACAGTTCATGGGCCGGAGGTTCCCCCCCTTTGGACTCGGTCGGATATGAGTCTGGTTGAGTCTGGGTATGTCTCGGTGCTACCAGTGGTGAGAACAGATCGTCTGAGCAGCAACTGTCTGGATCGTCTTTCCAGAACAACACCTGGAAGCAGCGAAGCGGCATGGCCAGCTGCCCCCCCAAAAAGATAACCCCCCACCCCGCTACAAAGCTTAAGAAGATCACCTGCAAACCAACATGGATGTGGCATACCCACAGCCTTGGGACCCATGGAGTGGCTTTCACCACTTCTTCACCCAATTCAAGCTGCTCAATGCGCTGCCGCTCACAGTCAAGGTCTGGCCTCAGTCGGACTCCACCCGAACAAATGACTGGTGGTACTGCTCCATCACGTTCCACAGCAGTTCCATCATTCCCAGGTCCAAGCGTTTTTGTTGTCATCCTTTATATAGAGAAGCTTCGGACGGTAGACAAAACAGAACATGACGTCCAAGTCAAACCGCCTCTTCTTTTACAAGCCCCCGACCGTCGCGGGATTGTCCGGTGGAAACGGTCAAAGGTCCGTGCCGAGGCCGTGTGGTGTTCTGCTGCGCCGCTGAAACGCTGAAACTAATAGCTTCTTGTTACTACTAGTAAGGCACTTGTTACATCTTGTTACTAGAAGCGATGCACTTGTTCCTAGTAGCTTCTTGTTACTAGTAGTAAGGCACTTGTTACTACTAGCGAGGCACTTGTTACTAGTAGTAACGCTGAAACGGTCTCTGTCGGGTGTGGCTCCATCCCCCCCAGCTTCACGGTGTCGATGAAGGCTTCTCCACCGGTCGCCGGGTACCGCACTTGTGGTCCAGGGTTAGCTGTTCACCTGGGAGAACGGGGGCGGAGTGGCCAAGTGGCTGGCTGGTGCACCGAGTCTCAACGCAACACGGTAGCAAAAGCAAGCAAAATGACATATTGCTTGCCTTGTAGGGTATCTGTTGCTGGTCATACTCAGCAAATTCATATGTGTGGCTCATTCCCGTTCTCCGCCCCATGGAGGTCCCCCGGGCCCCGTTTCGGAAACCACGGGTCCACTTCACGTCTGGTCCAGTCGCTTGTGGGACCGAAGGGACCGTTGGACCACACACCGTCCGGGTCGCCCAAGGTCGCAACGCCCCGGAGTCGAAGCTCGGGTGACGAAGCTGAAAACCACTGGTTTGTGGAGGAAGCCCGTCTTCCAGTTTGGTCCATGCCAGGTTCCAGGTGAATCTTGGGTGTACACCAAACAGTCCAAGAATGAACCACACGGCCCTCTGTGATCCAGAAATGCGGCTGGCTCTCTCTCTCTCTCTCTCTGCTCAGATTAGTTTAGAATTCCTCCAAACTCAGGTGCCTGCAAGGTGCACCAGAAAAACAACGAATAGAGTACTCCAGCCTTGTCACACCCCATTTGGGGCGAGGAATCATCTCCAGGAATTTCCAAAAAATGGGTTGCACGGTTTCACCGAGTCTCCTGGCTTTAACATGGATTGGCTTGCCAAAAAGCCACAAACAAGAATCCCCAGCCATGTTGATGTTGCTGGGACCAAATGAACTCCATCCCTTCGCCACTCCATCTCTGAGAGCCACACCGACCAGGATTCCAGAGCCAGCCTCCTCCTCCTCGGTGGAATCGTAGGATTGCCAATAGTGAAAACTAAAAGGGGGCTCGCTGAAAGACTAAGATTGGTCGAAAGTCATCTGGAAGATCGTGTTCCAAACCTGCCAAAGCTCGGCAGCTCGCCAAAGCTGCGTTCCGTTCGTTCTCTCAGCGTTCCCTCTGGACGCTCCGGGGGCGTTCGGCCGACCGAGTCGGCGCGACGGCGGGGGGAAACCCCGTGCCTTGACCAGGATCACCCGGCTATCGCCCAGATGCCCGACGACCTCGGACACGTCGGGTCCAGAAAAGGCTTTTTGTGACCGGAAAGGCCAGGCCAGAAACGGCAGGGGGCCGTGAAAACGGAAAGCACCAAAAAGATATAAGGAACACTTCAGTTGGTTTTTGACAAGACAAAACCTCAACAAGGCTTGCAACTTGTACAAGTAGACTGGTGCTGGTGTCAAGTTCCAACTGCATATTACTCTAGGTTACTAGCACTCCATCACCACTGCTCTCCGCCAAAGGTTTCCCTTGGACCCCAAAATCTACAAGGCCACCCGGCAATGGGCAAACCCCCTTTTTCCTCAGCCCGCTTGCGGGGCTCCTTCCCAGACACACAAGCTGTTGCCAACCCCCTTACCATTGTTCAAACCCCCCTTAGCAGTGAGCCCACCCGATTCCACCAGCATCGGGTGCCCCCACCAGCAAGTCCCCCACGATGAGCACCGTGACCGAGGTACACGTCGCGTAGTGCTGGGAGGCAGTGGACAAGTCCAGGGGATCGTGGGTAAGAGTCGTCTCAACAAAGCATGAGACATGTGAGAACAGGAGCACAAGAGCACAAAGGGCAAGTGAAGGCCAGTGAGGATCATGAATCATGATCTCTTTCTGCTGAAAGAACAGGTGCCCTCGGATCAAAGTCAAAATCCTGAAAGAACTCACAAAATACATTGAAATACATACAGTATGGATCAGTATGGGTTTAGGGTTTTGGAGAGGTCCGCGAGTTCTTGGGGACGCCCACCACATGCCACTCCCTTGCCACGTGCCTGCGTATATCTGGCGCACTGTGTCAATAAGGCAGCATCTGCCATTCCTTGGAACTGCCACCGGGGTTCGAGTTGAAAACGAAAGAACACGAGTTCGATGAGCCACGAGTCGACTCGACTCGACTCGCTGGACCGGTCGATCGATCCCGAACCGGTCGATCCCGAACCGGTCGTTCGGAGGGTCGACCGGTTTTTGGAGGATCGAACCGGGATGAAAGTGACACACCTGTCTTCATTGAGGCGACCAACTGTATCGTCGGTAGGTGAAAACGGTTGGTATCCTGGTGCCAGTCTCCCCACAGCCATCTAATGAGTTAAGTAGTCACCATGGCTCAACTGGTTCTGCTTGCGCGAATGTGAAACTGTTCCTACTTGCGCACCCTTCCCCACAGTTGAGGATCTCAATCCTCGATGATTGTCTCGGCTTGAAAAAAAAAATAGGAAAAACATAGAAGAAGAGAGAGAGAGAGAGAGACTGAGTGGGATCAGCACATGAGAACTTGGGCACGGACACGGTATGTTTTTCCTTCATTAAGACCGACTCATACCGACTCTCGATCTCTCGACTTGAGACACCCACAATGATATCGTTCTGCTTCTGAAAGTCTCAACAAACTAGACGGTCAAAACGACAGGTCCATATGCCAATAACATACGAGTACCACATACATCTGTCTTCTTTTCACAAGGAATTTGAAGCATTTGGAACAAGCATCCTCATCCTCCGAAAAGGAGAGGCAACACAAAGCTGAATGTAACCCCATTCCACGAACCACTGAGCACCAAGTCTAAACCGCCGTGGGGTTCGCCAGGATGCCTACGGTGCTTTGAAACCCGGGCTTGCTCTGATCAGATCTAGCCTTAGCCCAGGAGGAAAGAATCAGGCAATCCATGATGTTGACATTGGACTGTGGGTCAAACCCCCTACTTCCGGTGAGCATTGAGAACAACCATACTTTATACATCTTTATACTCATGAAGCTCAGTTAGGTGTTCACTCTCCTTCACACATCCACTTCAGGGTTTTTGGACATCTCCCTGAAAGAAAAACCTCTCGGACTGCAGCTGCAGCTGCTGTACATGTCGTGGAAGGCCTCGCTTAGGAGGCGCTCCTGGAGACCGAGCGGCCATTTCGCTGTGAGTCACATTGCCAAGACAGTCGGACAAGAAGAAGACAGTCGGACATTCAGTTGAATGTTCCATTGTAAAATGTGGCATGTAAAAAAACGGTGTTCTTTTGAAGCTGAGCGTCTGGAATCAGAAGCTGGCTGACATAGGCGTGTCTTATTGTGTCGGTCCAAGCCCAAGCCGTGCCAGTTGGAATGGGACCAGCGACTACCAACAGGCTGCTTTTCTCCTCTTCCGCTGGCTTGGCGGGGTAACTTTGGCGAAAAGCCTGACAGGCACGTGAAAAGCGAGAAGAAAACCAGGCTAATGGGCATCCATATCTTTCCTGGTCAGATATACTTGGGCTTGAGACAAACCTATTTAACCCTATTTAACCCATTTCATGCAAAACAAACAGCTGAGAGAAAAACCAAGTAAGAAAATCATCCTTCACCGCCTTCACCAACCCAAAGAAACCCGCCCGCACCGAAGGTGCTGAGGCGTTGTGTCGGTTCGCGTGGAACTCACACTTGAATTTGCTAGAGAGCATAGCTAAGCTTTAGCTTGGGGGGTGCAATTTTTTGCTCTAGAATGCTGTGCTTTTGAGCCTTTTAAGAATTGATAATTGTTGACATCGTGTGTATGATTGTCCGCGTGGCTTCCGAGCTAGGCCTTGGCGATGTCGCTTATTCAGTCTGAGGGAGATTGCATTTTTGACATCGTGTGCGTGTTCGTCTGGGTGTCCTGCCAGTTTTGGGGAAATCGGTAAATTGAAACCGTGTGTGTGTGTCCACCCCTGGAAAAAGGGCTCCTTTCACCATTTCCATC